AGCAGCAAAGACTTTCCATGTTCACATCTTTAACATAATAATAATAGCAAGCAGTGAGCACATCATTTGATTGATTAATTAATCCTTATAACTCCTAGAAGGCAACTGAGTTTCGATTTTAACAACTTACTATCTTCCATCTTGAATACCCTGATATTATGTCTTCAAAACTAGAGAGCACAGGGACCATTTAAAAAAATATCTACTTCTCTTTTCTAATTTTTTTTTTTTTTTAAATAGAGGCTGAAGGAGTTGAGAATCACAGGAATGATGATTGAGGGGGGGAGGGACCCATGTTGAACAGGCTTAGAAGTCATCTGACTAACCAGTCTGGCATCTTGAAAGATCTAAAAATTAACAGTTTCCTCCAGGGTGGAGTAAGAAATACAAGCTGGGACAGGCTTTACCCTTTGGAGAGCAGGCCGAGGATGAGGTTGGAAACCTATTTCAAACAAAAGATTCTTACAATTTCGTTTTTTAAAGCACCGCTTTGAATAAAGAAATCAAAGTGAATAAACAATCTCAGGTTCAACGGGCCTATTATTAGAATATGATATTCTTGTCTCACGGTCTGAAAAACACCCTTTCTATGACTAGACATCAGATGAATGTACCTTCAGAATGAACTTTCCTAAAGAGAAATTTCCTGTTGGAATCAGTCAGTGACTAGGCCACAGAATTAGTCATGTTGTTTAATTTGTTTAAGCATATCATTAACAAGATTAAAAACTTTCCAAGAGCTGGGATTGAAGGTAAAGGGTTATTAGCATTAAACACATAGACTCCAAAAAATGAAGTGGCGATTCTAATTTTCTCTTGTTGGTATTAAAGATAACCTCAGATTGGGTTTCTCAGTAAATAGAGGGAAAAACAAACTGATTATCCTGTCCTCCCCACATGGCCAGTCCCCCTAAAGTTTCTTCAGAAATGAAGTGTGGAAAGGGACAGTGTGCCACCAAATTACTACGAAGCTTTTTCCCAAACCTTGACTCAGTCCCTTGAGGAGCTGAGGTGGGCTAAGGTTGGTCTAGAGTCAAAAGCCTTCTTTCCTTACTATGTTCAAGGTTAGGAAATAGCCCTCCATAGAAAATAGTCCCCATTTTCCAACCTCTCCTTAACTCATTTTTATCTCTACCACAGAAGCTAGTCTCGTCAACCTCACCGGCATCCCCCATGTTGCCAAAAACAAATGGCGCTTTTCAGTCCTTACCTAACTTAGCTTTTCAACCATACTTGACCTTTCAACGCACTTGATTACTCCCTGCTTTTTAAAATACTTCCTTCTTTTGAATTCTATGTTTACAAAGAACCATGATATTATTCTCATTTAGTTTTTTCCCCACCAACTGGGTACTCCTTCTGAATCTCCTTTGCCGGCTCCTCCTTTTTGGCTCAAACTCTGAATGCTGATGAGTCCCAACGCTCAGTTTTAGGCCCTTTCTCTTCTCTATCTACACCTTCTTTCCAGGTGATCTTTTTGGGTCTCATGCCTTTCCATTTCTATTATATGGAGAGAACATCTGTATTTATATTTCCAACCCTGACTCTCCCCCAAGCTCCATTCTCAAACACCCACCTTCACACTTGACATCTCCCACTAGATATTTAATGTGCATATTAACCATAACATATCCAAAATAGTTTTCAACTATAACCTGCTTCCCTTTCAGTTCCCCCATACCAATAAAAAAAAATATCAATATTCACATAGAAGCTCAAGGGAAAGACTAAAATGAGTCCTTTCCCTCACAAGTTCTGTCAACTTTTCCTCCAAAATGAATCTATCCAATTTCTAGCTCTCCCTACTTTCCCCTTGTATGAGCCGCCATGATCTCTTACTAATTATCACACTGGTCTCTTAACTGGTCTCCTTGCTTCCACTATTACCCCTTCTGTACAATTCATGTTCTATGTGGCAGAGAGACAGAATGCTTTTGTAAAAGCATAAATCAGGGCACCTGGGTAGCAAAGTCAGTTAAGCCTCTGACTCTTGGTTTTGGCTCAGGTTGTGGTCTCAAGGTCATGAAATTTAACCCCATGTCAGGCTCCATGCTTCATGTGGACTCTGTTTGAGATTCTCTCTCTCACTCTGCCCCTGCCTCCCCTCCCCACCCCCCCACCCCCGGCCAGCTAAAAATAAATAAATAAATAATTTTTTAAAGGCATAGATCAAATCATGTCAGTTATCAGCTTACAATTTATTTGATAGGGAGTTACATAAAAATGAAATGCCTTATTCCTTTTTACATAATCTCTTTTCAGTGGACTGTGCCCACCCCCAACAAATGTGTAATTTAAATGAAAGCAATATTTTGATGTCAGGCCGTAGATTGCAAAAGGGCCCTAAAGGGGTCTTTGATCTTTTAGTTGTCATAACCTGCAATGCCTCTCCCTCCTCTCTGCGTATCCCAAATGTGTTCTTAGTAGGCTGTCTGAAGTCACATTCCTCCCTCTACAAAACCTCTCCTGAGCAATCCAAATGATCATTTCCTTGATTTTCTATACCCAGATGATAAATTTCTAGAAGGTAGAGACTGTTTTAGTCCTCTCCCGCATTTCTTACCACATTAGGGAATCAAATACACTGTATGAACACTATTCTGAAAATATTTAAAATTCTAAAATTCTCAAGGTCCTTTTACTGTCTCCTGCCTACAACTCTGATCTCATATCATACCACTCTCTGTTAATTTTCTGTATTCCAGCTACACTGTCCACCCAAACATGTACCTTTTGGTCATTTTTTTTTAATTTAAGTATAATTGACATACAATATCCTTTTAGTTTGAGGTTTATACCATAGGGCTTGATATTTTATACATTATGAACATCTCCACAATAAGTCTAGTTGCCATCTGTCACCACACAAAGTTATTATAATATTATTGACTATATTCCCTCTGCTGTACATTACATCCCCATGAATCATTTCTTTTTAAAGATTTTTTATTTATTTATTTGACAGAGTGAGAGATCACAAGTAGGCAGAGAGGCAGGTTGGGGGGGGGGGGAAGCAGGCTCCCTGTTGAGCAGAAAGCCCAATGTAGGGCTCCATCCCAGGACCCTGAGACTAGGACCTGAGCCGAAGGCAGAGGCTTAACCCATTGAGCCATCCAGGCACCCATGAATCATATTTTTAACAACTGGAAGTTTATAGCTTTCAATCCCCTTCACCTATTTCACCCATCCCCCCAAAATCTCCCATATCTGGTAACTGATAATTTGTTCCCTGTATCTATAAGTCTGCTTATGTTTTATTAGTTCATTTGTTTCATCTTTTAAATTTCACATATAAGTGAAATCATGTGGTATTTGTCTTTCTCTGTCTGACTTATTTCACTTAGCATAATATACTTTAGGTGCATTCATATTGTTGCAAATAGCAAGATTGCATTCTTTTTTTACGGCTGAGTAATATTCCATTATACATATTTCACATCTTCTTTTTCCATTCATCTATCAATGGACACTTAGGGTGTTTCCATATCTTGGTTCTTGTAAATAATGCTGCAATGAGTATAAGGGTATATATATATCTTTGAATTGATATTTTTGTTTTCTATTGATAAATACCCCAAAGTGGAATTACTAGATCATATGATAGTTTTAATTTTTTGAGGAACGTCCTTACCCACAGTGGCTATACCAATTTACATTCCCATGAATAGTGCATAAGGGTTTCCTTTCCTCACATCTGTGTATTTTGTTGTTGTTGTTGTTGTTGTTGTCTTTTTGGTAATAGCCAATCTGACAGATATGAGGTTGATAACTCATTGCGGTTTTTATTTGTGTTTTCTTGATAATCAGTAATGTTGAGCATCTTTTCATGTGCCTAATGGCCATTTGTATGTCTTCTTTGGGAGAAATGTCTACTCAAATCCTTTGCTCATTTTTAATAGGGTTGCTCTTTTAAATATCAAGTTGCATAAGTTCTTTATATATTTTGGATATTAACCCCCTATTGCGTGTATTGGAGACTTTACACAAGCTCTTCCTTTTGTGATGCTCCTTCCCCAATTTTCACATGACTGGTTTCTTACCATTTAGTGTCATCTCCCCTAAGAGGCCATCCCTGCCACTCAAACTAAAGTAGTTTCTCAGTATCTCTCAATCATTTCCCCTGTTTTATAGTCTTCATAGCACTTATCATTGCCAAATATGTTATTTGTTTATTTACTAACTGCCTCCCTTCCAAAATGTAAGCATCATATGAGCACATACCTATCTTGGTCACTTCTTTACTCCCAGCATAAAAGTGTCTGACACATAGTCAATGCTCAATAAATGATTATTGAATGGATACTTTATCACAATGTCTACAAGCCAACACTGTGTAACAGCTGCTGTGAGCCAGAGACTGTTATAAAAGTTTTACACATATGCCCTCATTTCCACCCCAGAACAACGCTAGAGCTAGGTACTACTATTTCTGTACTTTCCAGATAAGGAACATGCAGCACCGAGAGGTCACACACCTAGTAAGGAACAGAGCTGGGATTTCACCCAAGAAGCTTCATTCCACAGTCCATGCTCGTCGATACTATATGACATTGCTTGGCTTATGTTGTCCACCTGTGGCCTTCCCAGGTCAGGAAATGACCCTTTAGCCTGTCAACCCTAACATCCCTGACAGGAGAGAATCCTAAGAGAAAGCAGTAAGATCTGAGCACTGTGTTCAACAAAGAACATGCCTCCCTGGGCTTGGACTTTATGCCTTTTCTTGTCAGAGTGGAAATGCTCCAACCACTCTGTGCTTTGATATAACGTGCAGGTGTATATGGTAGGGGTCTTCACCCCTACCACACATGGGGGAAAGGAGAACAAGGGCCAACATTCCTCTGATTTTTGTCAAGTCAGATGGAAGAAGAACAGGACAACTGTGGAAGAAACCTTTTTTTTTTTTTTTCTCCAAACTCCTGGTTTAATAAGGACTTGTTTATTTTGAGAAAAAAGGGTCCCAAACATCAGGCTGTTCACAAAAATAACCCACAGTATCAACTTTAGTCAAAAGAGGAGCCGTACATCTCCGCTGCAGATCGTTTCACACCTGCTTTTCCTCGGTTCACTTTTGGCTCTGCAGCCAGATTAATATCTAAAACCTGGCCAGCAATCATTCTGCCATCCTCTCCTGCCACAGCAGCACGGGCATTTCTCTCATTAACATACTGAACAAAAGCAAAGCCCTTATGAACAGAGCAACCCACAATTTTGCCGTATTTTGAGAAGATCGCCTCCACATCAGATTTCTTGACCACAAGAGTATTGAGATTCCCAATGAATACACGGGAGTTCATGGAGCGAGGATCTGTCTTGTTGGTAACATTGCTGGCCATTTTCTTTGATGTTAAGGTTCTTCACAAAGCTGAAAAATGTAGCTGAAGATCAAAAAAATCTCACTCAAGCAAAGTTCCACTAACTTATATATTTCAAGTGATTTGTAACCAGGAGGGGGAAGGGAGAAGAGATTCGATTCTGAATCTCCTACTCCCGGGTTCTACGTAGAGAAGCCAACTGCTGCTCGAGGTCGACGACCCGGCCGCACAGCTCAGTCTTCGTCTCTTCACAAAATGCAGAAGAAACCTTTTTATAACCTCAAGAAGCTACCGCCTATGAGTTATCCACCCAGCATCCAAGAAATGGGGGAACTCAGCTTCCCGAGGCCCCCTCATGATCTTACTATACTCTCTAGCCACAGCACTCAGAGGGTGCCTTTTATCCTCAGAAGGACCTGAGATGCTTCTTCAGTAGAGATTCCAGTTTCCTCTCTGAGATCTTCCCTATGCCTCTATAAATCATGTTCAGTCCGGTCACCAGCCCTAACAGCAGAACAGTTAAATGCCCCTGCTTCTTCCAGATCTAATCCCGAAAAGCAGTTAGAACCAGATAGGCACTCTTCCCCCTTTCACAGGGGGACAGCCTGACCACTAAGATCTTGAGTCATCACCTCTCTGGATCTTTGTCTCCTTCGACTCCTGCAGTCATGTCTAAAGCTAAGACTGTTTCCTGGACAACAGCTCTCTGTGTGTTTGTAACACCCAGTGCCACTCTGCCAAAGACAGCCTACTGTTTCTCTACCAACCTGGTTCCCCATAGCCAAGACTTTCAAATACAGGGAGTTTTTTTAGTAGTACTGTTGATGGTTTGTTTTTTCATGGTCTAATTCAGTCTTGTCTCTGCCCAAGAAGAAATTACTTTTGCTATGTGGCAAGTCTTCCTATTCTTTTGTATCTGATCAGTGATTAACTTTTTATCACCTTGGGACCCTAAAATCCATACCCGCCATCTAGGCTTATCTAATATCCATGGGGGAATCTCATGAGTCCTGACGTCAAATCATATGGCCAACCAAGACTGGCCCTGTTGCTTACTTCTCTGCCTGTCTCCCCATATAATTATAGAGAGCAGAGGTCTGTAACTAGGACCACCTGAGAGCTTATAGGTTCAGAGAGACCAGTGATAAGCCCCAGGTATTCCCATAGTTGGATGCTACCTTGGCTCCTTCCTCGATCCTGGATCGGCCCTAAGATATTGGCAAATATAGGAAAACAGTAGGAAGTATTTATAACAAGGAGTATGACCCAGACGAACCAATCCAGAAGCATTTGGAATAACAATCCAGAGGTCAAAATTCTCATATACCAAGACTCTGTTTATCTGAGGGTGACCAATAGTGACCATACTACTATTACAGATGACCAGCAGTAGGTAACATGCAAGTGAGACAGACAAAATTAGCTAAAGGAAAAAACTGACTACAAGACAGAACTTTAATTTTGTCCATGGAAATGCATAATATCTTCAAAAGGGAAGGGTTCTAGGTATACATATATCTTCCAGTGACATTCCTCTTCTCCTTCAGTGACACACTAATGCCTACTAAATCAAGTTCAAACTCTTCCATGTGGTGTCCAAGATCTTCAGTAATTAACTTCACTTATGCTCCCTTTTTAGATTATTATTTGCTCACTAGAGTTCCCAGACTCCAGAATTTCCTAAAGGAGAGAGATTTTTAATTGCTAGGCCAAGAGGAGGATGCTAAAGTGAAGATCAGTCATTCCTAGCTGCCCCAAATCTTTTTTTTTATTTTTTTTTTATTTTTAAAGATTTTTATTTATTTATTTGACAGACAGAGATCACAAGTAGGCAGAGAGGCAGGCAGAGAGAGAGGGGGAGGCAGGCTCCCCACCTAGCAGAGAGCCTGATGTGGGGCTCGATCCCAGGACCCTGAGACCATGACCTGAGCCAAAGGCAGAGGCTTAACCCACTGAGCCACCCAGGCACCCCGCCCCAAATCTTTTGAATAACCTTTCCACAGTGTGAGAATTCTCCATATAACATACCTTCATTCCCAAAGTCCATAAAGCTCAATTTCCCAACCTCTCTGCTCTCTAGGCTTCAGACCTGGGACTGACGATGAGCCAGGAAGACATATCCAGGGGAGACTTTGATCCAGGCTTGTGCCAAGGGGTGGATCCAACCACAGGCAGTGTTGTCCACATTAGTAGCTTGTGTGTTGGCTTCTAACTGGATTCTTGATCCTGGGAGAAGCAGCAGCTCACTTGGGAGCCAAGTTTTGCAATGTGGTTCTGGGAGTTCTACCTAGAGTTCAATACTTCAGCCTTTAGGACAAGCTATCTGTATAACTTAATAAGTCCCTTTACACTTAAGACTAGCTAGAGTATGTATTTTTGTTTGCAACCAAGGACGTGTCCAAGACAGTTGCTTATGACTTTAGTTTGACAAATGAAAGTATTTTAAGAACAAACTGATTTCCCTTCCATTCAGATGGCATCATAGATTCATGCCTGCTTACAACTTTTCTTCTCTGGGGACAAAAAGGCCAGATGGGAATTATTATTCAGAAATATGTAAATTGGAGGATGCAGTGAAGTGAGATGTGGTCCCATATCAGTCCAGGGAGAGTCATGAACATGGAACGTGGAACCAGAGAACAATACTAGATTCCTCTAAATAGGTTCAATAAAGGCAAATAGCACAGCCATCTCACTTCCTCTATCTTTCCCTTGCTGCTATCCTCTGAACCATACCCAGCCTGATTTCTGTAGTTGGGCTCCCGAAGCAAAGATCTCCATGATAAGGTGAAGTTATCTTCAGATAAGTTGTCACCACCAAGTGTCTACACCAAAAGTAGTTTATCACTACAAGATTCTGAATTCATTAGCCTTGATGGTGTGGAAATTTATTTCTTATTAATGTCTTTTCTTCTAAGATCCTTGTCTTGGGTAGAACAAGAAAAAAGTAGAAAGAAGCAGAGAGATTATAAGGAGAAGATAGAACTAGGGAGGTAAGCAGAGAAGAACACCAAGAAAGAGAAGGAAAGAACATATTTCAAGTCTAGGAAACATCCCAGACCAAATTCTCCTTTCTCTTTGCAGAACTAATATATTTTCATGTTTGCCTCCAGCTTCTGGGGGATTAGACCCTCCGTTCACTACCTAGGAAGGGAAACTAGCAAAAATACTGCTCATGGGTTACTATTTTGAAATACTTAGTTCTAATAGCCATCATTTAGGTGATAAATAGACTGACTTCACAGATCCCAGCAGAATGAAGCTAGTGGAGGTGCCATTTCCTTGAGGTTGCCTTCCCTGACCTCTTAACTCGAGTTGATCCTCTTTACAAGCTCACACGGCACCATATATGTCTTCATTTTAGTACCAATCATTACCTTTAAATAAATAACTAATTGTGCAGAAAGACACTATCTACTATCGCCATCACTTCATAAAAGGAAGGTCTTTCTATATAATAATAGTTGGAAAGAGACAACCTTATTTTGAGAACAGAAAAATGTTTTCAAATGTAGAAAAATCATACCTTGATTTAAAACATACATTTTATGTAAATTTTTTTGATACGAGTTTGTTGACTTTGGTATTTTATTGGACACTGTAAGAAGGAAGAAGAGCTCAATGTGCACCTTGTTTTAGTAGTGTGGTTTTTAACAGGTTTACCAAAGGATTTGGTTGAATGGATGCCATAGTCTCACATGACCCAAAAATATTCTGGATAAACTGAGAAAAGCTGTGGGACAACGGTCTCCACAATTTTACTGCTGCACCTGTCTTGTCCTCAGAGCATCAAGCCAGGTGTCTCGCTGGCCAGGGCTGAAAGAAAAATGCTGCAGAAGACTGTCTGCCTGGGGCTGCCCAGCTCAAGCTTCCCATGGCCGCAAACAGTCAGTAATCCATCCCAGAGGGATGCTGTGGGCCAGAAGACAAGGGGATGAGTCAGCATTAGTATGGAACAAGGGTTTGAAGATCACCTTATTCAGTCACCCTAACCATTCCCTACACATGCTCCTTTCACTGAATTCTCCCTGGGTGTTGAGTTAGGAGTTAGCTTGTACTTTGAGTTAGCTTGTACTTTGTTCCAATGTAGTGCAGAAGTTTTAAACATGTTTAGTGATTTTTCATCTTCGTCAGCCATAGTGCATAACTATGATATTTTCCAATACAATTTCAAAGTTTAACTGAGGTATTTATAATTTACTCTGGCAGATGCTCTGTAAAGATCATAACGCTGTTCTTAGTTTGTGCATGCATTTATAAATGGCTTTACCATTTGTTGGAAGAAACATAAAAACAATCTCTCTTAATTCTATATCACTTGCTTTCTATTCTAAACTTGACTTCTATAAGACTCAATTGACTTCTATACATCAATCCAATAGAATTAATTCAAATAGAAAGCACAGTTCACAGTTTACAAATCAGGTGTTACTAGTACATAACTAGCTCTAATCTTAAGATTTATCAAAATGACTTGAAACATCTTCTTAAATAAATATAACAATTTTACAACTGGCAATTGCACACCAATATAAAGATCCAAAAGCTAATGATTAAATTGGGTGTTAGAGTTTCACAATCAAATTTCCTGAGAGAAAATATTTTTAAAAATCATCTTAAAACAGATGCCCTTAAAAACCACTTGATAAAATTCAACACCCATTCCCAGCAACACTCTGTATAAACTAAGAAAAGAGGGAAACTCTCCAACTTGTAAAAGGGCATCAATCAGAAATAATGGCAAACGTCACACTTAACATTTATCCATTAAAACCAAGAAAGCAAGACAAAAATGTTCACTATTACTGTTATAGACAAAAATATATAGTAATCATCCATTGTTCTCTTTAAAAATCCTATTCATAATGGTAACAAAATATATAAAATACCTAGGGTAAATAGAAATGTATAAGATTCATATGGAGAAAACTATAAAGTTTCTCTAAAGGGCATTTAAGAAGATATGACTGAATCTTACTCTTGTATGGCAAGGCTTAAACATTATATATTTAAGTGCTTATGTTATTATAGATTATTTATATAAATATTACATATAATGTTAATTCTCCTTAAGTTGATTTATAAAATCAATTCCTAAAACCATTTGGTTACAGCCATCCATAGACATTAACATGCAAAAATGTCTCTAAAACACTCAGAAACAACTTATGGAACAATATATATAGTATGATGCCACATTTAGGACAAACACAAAAAAACTGTGTGTGTCCATATATACATGCATACAAAGG